GGTGCACAGTAATTGTACATATTTTGGAGGTGTTTTACAGTTCTTAAATCTTAATTTCTCTTAAAAAATTTCCTTAACCACTAACCTGTAGTTTTTTCCTCCTCTTGCCATTCACTTGATTATATAARCATTTATTTATCTTTTTCTTATTTTCCTATTCCAAAGACATTTTACAATGTAAATATTTCATATATAGCAAAGCTCAAAATGTATTAGTTTGTTATGCAAATTTCAACTTTAGAAAAAACTTCTAATTSAATTGATTATGCCGTATATTTCTATTAAATTCTTTTGCAAGGCACAGTATATAGGGGTGGATATGCATATTAAATGTAACACATTATATGTTTAATTGTACTGTATACATTATAACATAATATATTAATGGTAACACTTATAGACAGATGTTTTGCCTTAAAAGAGGGAGATCATCTTTTGTTTGTGTATAATTACCCTAAGATATTTATCAAGGTATATTTCATGTATTAAATCATTTCTGTTTTCAGTGGCATTTATAAATTGCCATTCATTTGAGTAGTTACTGTGTCTCAGACACCATGTCATACTTTTGACTTGGATTTACCTAGTTCTTTTAGTAGTCCCAAGAGGAATAAGTTTTTATTGTTCCCATTTTTCAGAAAAAGAGATAGACAAAGAAAAGGCATATAACTTGCCCAAGGCTATAAAATTGGGAAATACTACCCCAGTGTTGATGATCAAACTTAAGGCCTTGCACATGCTAGATAAGTGCTCTACCACTGAGTGGGCCATATTGCCAATTCTTTCCTAAAATTATTATTTTTTAAATTTTGAAACAACGGACTCCCTAAGTTGCCCAGGCTGGGCTGGAACTTGTGATCCTCCTGTCTCAATCTCCTAAGTAGCACAGGTGTGCTCCATTGAGCCTGACTCTGAACTCTAGGCTCAAAAAATTGTATACTATTTCATATGGAAGTTCTTTAACACTGTCTAGTTTAAATTAATAGTGTGGTGCTTAAATATTGATTTAAGGTATGTAACAACTGAGCTTCATTTGCTGTGCTTACAATGGAATTCAATGCATAAATCTTGCAAAAAGTTACTATGTTCAGTTACAGCTTTAAGAAAGTACCAGACAACAAAATAAAACCATATAGGAGCTGATATTTACACATCTAAAAGTTGAGAAATTCTAAGCTGTGGTTCCCACAGCAACTGCAGCTCAGCCTCAGGGCAGTCAATGTTGCAATCCAAACTGAACACCATATGCAGCCAGATGATATAATATTCTACATGCTCTGGGGGGTCTGGTAATGGCCACTGTGGGAACAATGAATGCGTAAATTATCAGTTACTGGTTTATCACTGTAGTTGGGRGCTTTTCATTTATGTGGTCATTTCATTTCAACATAGGTGTTTCAGTTGGTGATACATCTTGGTGGCATTTCAGTGCGGCTTAAATTATTAATGAATCCYGAAACAAAATGTCTTGTAAGATTATTTTATGTCTTACATCTGGTTTATAAACAATCATGTTAGCTCTCTTCCCCACCCCCACTCCCAGTGGAAAAGCATCATTTTGGGAGTTTGTGTTTACATTCAAAGTGCTGTTCCTAGGCAGGTTCAAGATGTTGTTAACCTTTGAGATGTAGTATGTGCTGGTGCTTAAGAGAGATAGATGACTAAGAAGTACATATTAGAGCCTCTCAAAACGCAAGATCATCAATCTTCAAGTAGCCTGGCTCCATGCAGCACACCACCATCCAGGATGCGTGGAGCACTTCTACAGCTCACCGACAAGCTCAGTACATTCTGCTGCTTATTTTGGTATATTCTCAGTAGAATTGGCGATAGGATATTATGAATTATTCTGCCCAAATTTAGTATATTTTCTGCATTGTGTCTTGACCCCTAGCGCTTATCATTTTATTGATGGATCTCTCTCTTGATGGCATATGCATTTCTACTAGGAATCTCTCAAATACCTGGGTAAATTTAACATTTTTCTCAATGGTAGACTCTTTTATAATATAAGTGATTTCCTAAGTTTATAGTAAAATCATTGTTGCCGAATTTGTACAGTAGGAAAAGGAAACCCTAACAAATTGTAACATCAATTTTAGTTGTAAACATCCAAGAAATAAATAAATAAATTTTATGTACTTACCTTGGGGCATCCCTAGAGATTCCTGGGGATGCTTTTGCCTTAATTAGGAAAATATTTACAGAGTGTCTAACAGGTGCCAGACAGTGCGGATTCTAAGTAAAATACACATGGGCCTTTTAACCATTGTGTTTGGAGATCTGAATATTTTTAAACTATTATAATTTGGTAAACAAGACCATGATATCAAATATTATAATTTGGTAAACAAGACCATGATATCAGGCATGTTATCAACTTGAAAAAACCAACTTAAGTATTTGTGAAACTCTCTAATGAAGAGGCAAAGGCTAACATTATAAATTAAGGAATATTTTTAGGTGGTATTTCATTCATTTTTGTGAACTACCACATTTATTCCACATGCACCTTTTTCAGTTTCAGCATACCTTATCCAATGTCTGCAACACACTGGAACCTATTTTTACAAAACGTTTTTGAAGSAGGAATAAAAATGGTGGGGGTGGATGCTGATTGTTTTTTACTATTGGTTTTTGCTTGATATGTAGATGTAAACAAACATGATCCTTCATGGCTAAGAAGTTAATGTCTTTATGAACACCTCTAGGATAGTCCATTGGCTAAGGTAACTTCTTGTGAAATTTCTCAGGATGAAGTATTTTATGTCTGGGATTCTGCTTACGACATGTTCCAGTTGACATGCTGAGTTAGGAGAGGAGGGACTCTCAAATAGTGACTTCAAAGATTTTTATGTCTTACGTCTGGTTTATAAACAATTGTGTTAGCTCTCTTCCCCACCCCCACTCCCAATGGAAAAGCATCATTTTGGGAGTTTGTGTTGACATTCAAAATGCTGTTCCTAGGCAGGTTCAAGATGCTGTTAACCTTTGTGGATTATGGTGTCTCAAATGTTTTGATCTGTAAACAATTTTAAACATGCATCCCCAGTGTCACTCACATTTATTTATTTATACCATAACATTGTAGTAATATATAATTATTTCCTCAAACATATGTCAAAAGAAGAGAAGTTAAAATAATGAGATAAGTGGCATTAAAGTTCAGTTTTATTTCCTTATCCTAGCAGTATAGTTTATATATATATATATATATATTTATTTTTTAGGTGTAGATGGACACAACACAATGCCTTTTATTTTTATGTGGTGCTAAGGATCGAACCCAGTTTCCGCCAGGGCTAGGCAAGTGCTCTACCGCTGAGCCACAATCCCAACTCAAGTATAGTTTTTATCTTCTSGGACATGCTAACTTCAGATGCTGTTGCTTTAAAATTCAACTCATACTCACACCCATCTTACTGAAGGTCATTCTCCCTAGAGGAAAGACCTAGTTAACTTGATCATACTGACTATGAGACTAGGGTTTTATCCTGCTTCCTTTCACATTGTGGAAATAAACCTAACAGTGTGCTTTTCTTGTGCCTTGCTGCCTCCAGGACGAGGATGGGACGGAAGAAGACAGTAGCCGTGTGGAACCAGTTGGACATGCTGACACTGGTTTGGAGAATATACCCAGCTTTTCTCTGGAGTAAGTTACTGATGGTTTTAACTATATTTGTTATATACATGTAGCATCATTAATTGCAGCAAGTATTCCAAAAGCATATGGCATGCGGAATGTTTGTGCTTAGTTAAGAAACATACCCTGCTTTGATTTGTTTTTCCCAAGAACATCTTTCATCTGTTGAGTTAATTACGTAATGTAAGCAGTGTAGCATGGAAGTTCTTATGTACCTGTCCTGAGTTTCATGCCGTGGCAAATACTATTAAGTTAGAACATTAAAATAGTATTTGATTGAAAATGTTCATCATGTTAACAGCACTGTAAACGCTCTGTTTTCAGATTGCTTTGTCAGTGTTTTGGTTACTCGTTCTTCAACTTTGTTAACTTAAAAAAAATTGGCTATACTTTACATGAAAAACTAGTTGGATCACATCAGCATTAGTCACTATTGTGTATGTATGTATATATATGTATATATGTACATATGCATATATACACATATATATGTATTTTTAATTTGAAGAAATAGAATGTCTCAAGACATTTGATTAAAGATCATAGATCAGGGACTTTAAACATGATTTTAAATACAAAAGAACAAAATATTTTCCAGTAGTATTATAACATTGTAATCATTGTAATTATTGACATGTTAAAAATGGAAGATATTCTCAGAACCTTAATATCTTAGAGCAGGTAAGATAGTCATGTAGGTTTCTTTCTTTCAATGTGGGTGAAGTTGGTGATGTAGACATTAATATTATATCTTAATTCTGTTTTCTCTTGGTTTTCCAAGGTAGAAYTCTAAGATAATAGTGATATTAAGCAGTCCCTAGGATCAGGTTATGATTAAGTGTACAACAATTGGCACTTAGAGTATTTGCATTGGAGACATACTTKCTGTGCCATAGTTCTTTTTAGAACAAATAATAAATTGAAATAAATGAAATTTATTTAAGTTGTACCATTCTTATTTGCTTAGCCATTTATTAAACAGGTGTGGAAATTGTTAGCAGTCTCTGAGAGAGAGAGAGTATCAGTAGATAAAACCCACACTTGAAAGCTCTCTCATAACAAATTTAAGAAATGGTGACTGAAATTTCAGAGAATAGTGGGCAGGAAGGACAATTGGACTGTCCTCTGGATGATCACCCACAGGGGCAAAATCCTTGACCTCACTGGATCAAAGATGAGACAAATGTCAGAGTACTTGGTAAATTATCATGTGCTGTATGGATACAGCAGGTTTATTCAGCTAATCCTCAGAGTCTATGACATAGATATGCAGATGGAAAATTTTCAGTGGAAGTCTCAAGATTTGATTTGCAAAGCATGAGTTTATATTATATGGAAGAGCATGGTCCAAGAGAAATGGTTCTGTATTGTTTTTAATGTAGTTATCTCTGATGATTGCTCTCCCTCCATGCCATCAGACTAGTGTTCAGGTATGTGCTGTTTGACGTGGCCTTCATCACCATGCTTATATCCTCAATTTTGTGTGTATATGCCTGTGTACTTGGCGGGATTTTTGTTTTGTTTTCTGTTGTTGTTTATGTGTGTCTGTGTTGTGGCGGTTTTTTTGTTTTGTTTKGTTTGGTTTGTTTACAGTACACGTTCATGCTCCCTCATTCATCATTGTCTCACAGTGATATGGTAAAGCTCGTACAAGTCCCCAACGATGGAGGGCCTCTGGGAATCCATGTAGTGCCTTTCAGTGCTCGAGGAGGCAGGTAATGTATCTTGGAGGTTTTTAATTGAATCATAATGTGAAGTGTTGTTTTTTTCTTCATTTATGCTCAGATATGGAGTGGTGTTGACTTCACATATGCTTAATAGAATACATTTTCACTTGGGGGCAACTGCTGCTCCATTCATACCTATGTATCCTAATCACAGAAAGCTCTTAGCCTAATGAARAGAGGTTTTACAGGCACAAGAAGAAATTGTGCATTTAAATTATCATAATAAGTTTATTGTTCATCGCATCTAAGCTAACATTTGACTTTGCTGTGAATTGATGGCATTAGTTAGAATTCCACCTGGAGTTGCAAAGTGTGGGAGATCTTAAAGCATTTACCTGGAAAAATTCATGCAGTAAAAATTATCTGGATCAATTGAGTGATGATAAATTTTAAATTTGCCTTTATGATTATTTAGTTCTACAGTTTTACTGACTTTGATAATTTTAAAATACCCTGTGAGTTTGAAATTTTAGAAAATGAAGCATGCTGGAGATTTATCCSTTTCTTGTGGTTTCTAACTCCTTTATTGACTTTAATCTCCAAATATTCAGAATATCAAAATGGTTCAGTGTTTGTTAATCTAGACTTCATTATGGTACAGAAGACACATCCTTAAAGGCTGCATGTGTCCCATGAGATTCCTTAATTCTGATCCTTTTTCTTTTCCCCTGATTAAACCCTGTATAATCTTGGTTTTAATATATTCAAATGTGTGAATTGATTTTGGCAATAATGCTTGGTGGGCATCCATTCTGGACAAGTGAAATGCATGGCATTCTTCCCCAGGAACTTAATCCCATGCATGTGTAACTTAGCAGTTTTATTGCAGTCTCTCTTATTTGCCTATCTATTGATTACCTTGTTAATTTTTGGCATCTTAATTTTTAATTCCTTATTTCTTTTATTCTTTTAACCTTATTTTTTTGTTTTTCATCTACCCTTTCTTTTCATGGGGAGAGAAAAGGGGAAGTTGGAAAGTAGCCTGAGACCAGTAACTGAATATTGAGACCAGTGTCTGAGAACCTAGACAAGTGRCTGAGTGACCAAGAGCTTAGACTGCCAACCCCGAGCCTTAGATACAATCAACTCCATGATCGAGGAATTATACATATCTAGTGTCTTTTAAAAGACAGACGAAGTATGATTAAATATGTACTTTATGTTTTTAATGTAAGTAGCTGAGCAATCGTACCACCTTTCTTTTAAGTTATTAATTTTGGCAAGTCCATATTTCAGTCCTTTGGTAAAGCACCTGATTTATGGAATACCTCAAAGCTGAAACTCTGTTTTTCTTAGAACTATGCTGRAGTACAATGAATCTTGAATGTTACTGCTTTATACTAGTACCTGAAATTCACCTTGAATTTTTGAGTTGTATTACATTCAGAGTTGTGATTGCTTTCATTTTTTTTCCTCCTTTTATTTTTATTTTTGAACTCTAAAGGAGCATAAAATGTCTTCAAAGAACTTTCAGTTAAACAGCATTAGTTTTCAAAGTAGACCTTGTCTTTATTTCCTTTAAAAAAATATGTTTTAAAAACTCAAGAATTTCTTGAAAAATATTTCATGAATAGGAAACAAAAAAGGTAAGCAGGTAAAATGGATTATGGCTTCCCAATAGTAATGTGCCTTAAACTGCCTGTGAAACTTAACTCATAACAAATGAAATTAAAAGTGTTCATATACCACCTTCAAACCAGTRTTTCCTTTACAAACATGTCATTTTTTAAATCATTTTAAACATATTTACTACATCAACATTAAATGATATTAGGATGAAATAAATATATGAAAAACTTAAAGCAAAAGGGGAATAAGATAGGAAAATACATCTATTAGATTAATTCATAGGAAGACTTTAACAGAACCCAAGATGGCCTTTAGTTGCTGGTTACCATGGTGTTCAGTTTTGGTTCAATGAACATATTCAAGTGGTAGAATATCTCTTTGCAGAACTAAATTTTTTTTCTATAGCTGAGTCCTTTTAAAATTACTATTAATTTGGCACTTAATGAAGAAAATCTTGTGCAGATTCTCTATATATATAGACAAAAACTTATTTAAGAAAAACACATTCTTTATATGCCCTTTTTAGGCATCACCAATTTTTATATGGAAACAGAGAAGAATTTTTTTTTTCAAGTCTTGTGTTGCATCTTTAAACTTCCACCATGATAGTCATGGTTCTTCAGAGGTGGGTAGACAATGGGGAAGGAGAAGCAGGTAGGCTGCTCATACTACTAGACACTGATCTTCTTGATCCCAAATACACCCAGAAATGCTTCAAAGTGGGTTCCTCAAGTTCAGTTGGAATCGTTTCCAAGCATTCAAATTGTGATAATTCCTGTATTAGGTGCTAGGAGACAAAGATGGATAGGAAAAAGTTTTCCTCTGGRAATTTGCAGTCTAGATGGAGTGATAGCTGAGAAATCACACAATTATAATTATGTGATAAATGTTGATACTGTTATATAATAGTGATCTGTGAGCTGAGAGAGGAAGAATTGTCTGTATTTGGTAACTGAAGCTGGCTTGTTGAGGATGACAATTTTAAATGTGATGACAGCTTATAAAGGGAGCTGCATCAACTCCATGGTGGCTACAAGGGCAAATTAAGCAGTACGGACTAGCAGAAAGGAAGAAATTAAGTGGAACTCATGAAGAAATTGCATATACCTCTAGTGGGAATACAAGGATACATATTCATGGTACGTAAGTGGAAATTTCCATGAATACCTTCCATGGTGCAATATTCTAATCGTTCTTGGGCCTTCTCAATTTTGGAGACATAACTAATTGAATAACTCTTACTGAATACTTATTTTTATACATGTGATAAATACACATCAGTATTGCTTTCCCATTTAGACTTTCAAAGTCAAGGAGTCTAAGGTACAATTCAGAATTGGAATTATGTGTCTTAAGCAAAATGGAACACCCTCCAGACTACCTCGAATGTCACATCTAATTAAGGAAAATAGTAATTTAAAATTGTGAACTCAAGATTAGAGAAAAWTTTTAAGACACTTAGCTATTATTTTGGAAAATGTATAATCAAGTTTTTCTAAAGAAGGATCTTGCCAGGCCTATTTGATCTGGGACATTAATGACAATCAGGTCACCTTCCAATCCTTCCTTGGATGACCGCCTCTTGATACTTATAGATGGTGACAGTACCATATTCCGCTTGATGATGTTTTTCTTTAGTTATCTTCCTTCACGTTATTAAAAACAATTAACTCATCTCCCTCCAGAACTCCTTAGTCACAGTTTCACATCCTTGAAATCAAGTTTCCTTCCATACCAAACATTTCATTTCACCCTGATTTAAGTGGCAAAGGTAACCTCATTTAAATAACAAATACTTCTATATTCAGAAAATTTAAAACACATGAGTGTGAYTTCCTTTAGTAGAAGACCATGCTTTATTTTATATACTTTTCTGTTTCTAGGACCTATTCATAGATATTGGACCATAGGATTTTCAGTAGTACTTTTACTTGGCAAAGAAATGAATGAACCCATGAATGAATGAATCCATTTTAGCTTTGACATTACTAGATTTAAAATAAAGCCACAGTGACATATCCTGGCCTCAATAATATTTAGTGAGTTTTCTTGAGACTTTCTAATGATATTGAAATATGATTATGATATATCATTAAGTCTATAAAAAGTAAGAGAAAATTGCTTGCTGAAATAGAAGTTGACCTATTAAAATTATAAAATTTTGTAGTTGGTTTCAAGGGACTTAATTGAGAGATATGTATATAAAAAGATACATGCTAAGTGTCATTGGGATTTAGAGAAAGTAGAACTATTGAATATAGCACACTGTGCAAGCCCCCCGAGAAGCAATTGAACTTGACCTATTCCAGGGACATTGTTCTGGAAAAAGTCATTCCAAAAATACGCTATGAGGAAGATGCTGTATACAAGTATGCATGATTGGGTGGGAAAGAGTAAATTATTTGAATCATAATGTATTAGAAGATAACCCTGCAGAGACTTTTATTCGTCTTACTTGGACTCCAATCTAACTAATAGTACATATTCTAAATCTTTTCCCATATGGAAACAAATAGGTTTACAACATATTTAGATACAGTATAGACTAATTCTCTGAATCTCTTCTGTAGTGGATATTTGTATACATTCATCTTGATATTTAAATCTGTGGCACTTAGAATCTTTTTGGTATTACTTTTTCCTTATGGAAATAGTAATTATGTGTTTGTGTTTATTAATTTTATTTTAGCAGATTTTTTTTAAAAAAAATCTAGTATCTACCAATTATAATTTCTGGTGCAGAGGATATCCCAGATCAGGAATTCACAAATTTTCTATAAAGAGACCCTCAGGGGCACGAGTCCCTGAGGTTCTGTTGCAACTACTCATACTCATTGTAGTTTAAACACTATCATTGACAAAATATAAACAAATGACCAGGAGTAATCACATACACCTGTAATTCCACTCCTGGGGAGGCTGAGGCAGGAGGTTCATCAGGTTTGAGGGCAGCCTGGGCAACTCAGGCCTGACTCAAAATAAAAGATAATAAAAATAAAAAGGGCTGGGAATATAATTAAGTGACAGTGAACTTGCATAGCATTTGCGAGTTCCTGATTTTTATTCCCGTGTATTGCAAAAACAAGCAAAACAAACTAACAAAGGAGTGTGGCTGTGTTTCAGGAAAGCTTCTCTTACAAAATCATGTGCTGCCTGGTTTGACTCATGGACTGTAGTTTGCCAGCCTTTGCCCGAGGGAATCAAATAAACAAAAATGCCTGATGGCCTGGAGTTTATAGTCTACTATTTGTCATGTTTAAAACTCCCTTATCTGTTTTCTATTTATATTTGGGGGAAGCAACCATCCATAATTCTTTTCAGTTTCACTTACTGGTTGACAAGAAAGCCTTTTGTGGCAATGGGGTGTTATTTTGCACATTTTTCCCTTCCCCTGCCTATTCTCAGGAATTCACAAGAAA